GTGCCTCTGCGCCGCGCTTCAACACGTCCCTTATGAACTGTTCAGTGAGTTGTGGCTCTTCTTCTGGTCTTTCTTCTGGAACTCTCTCTCTTTCTTCTACTTCTGGTTGAACTGGTGGTTGTTCTTCTAGCTGTATCTCTCTTTCTTCTAGTTGTGGTTCAACTGGCGGTTCTTCTTCTGGCTCTCTCTCTCTTTCTTCTACTTCTGGTTCAACTGGCGGTTCTACTTCTGGCTCTATCTCTCTTTCTTCCACTTCTGGTTCAACTGGCGGTTCTTCTTGTCGCTCCTCTGGTCGATCTTCTGCTCCTCTTGCTTCCTGTTCTCCTCCTTGTCCTCGTTCTTGTTCTTCAGCCGGTGTCGTGTCTTTCTGCTTGGCGTACCTGCTGATAGAGACTCTGACGGAAGCCCTGTTTATCAATGCCGACTTAACAAGCAGAGTTCACCTTCATGGATCCATGGTATTTGCCATGTTCAAGAAATAATCGGTCCATTTCCCTCTGTTCAAAGTCGCCACCGCGTAGAAACTGAGAGGGATATCGCTACCTGCGCCACTCCATTACCTTACGCGCCTTGCAGTGCCACGCGGTCGGCTATGCGTTCCCGAACGTTTCGTCGCGCGCCACACGTCTGGCTTCTGGTCTACACTGGTCGTACGTTGCTTGTGCGGGACCTCGGTCTTCGCCATAGTACTGCACCTTGAGGATAGCAGTCGCGGGTGGTATGGATCCCTCGGCCTTCCATCTTGTATAGAGGCCATTGTACTCATTCACCTAGCACATGCCCAACTACAGCCTCGGACGCTGGAGGTGTTTAGGTTGTCTGTCAGTTGATGCAACCAAGCAAACATCCCTAACTATACATAATCCGTAAAGTATGTCTGTCTGTTGTGTCGTTAGTTGTGGATTCACAGACCCTCAGGTAGTATATTATAGAGTCAGCCTATCAGAGTGAATGATAACATATTAGCTCCACTCAATTGCACTCCCAAGATAAGCACCCTTGAAACCGTACCGCAGGCATGACCTAGCGGTATCGTAAGTGCGTTATCAAGTAGATACTCTATATGTTCCCGTTGGGACGGTGCGCTCTTTTAACTCTTATTTCAAGGACGCCTCGGTACGATACCTGAGCACGCCCACATTGCCACCTTAACTGATCCAGGGGATACATAAGCATAGCTTCTGTAGTTATTCGGTTATACGGTTCAGTACGAACACGTCGTAATAAATCTTACACGTGCGAGTACTCTCATTGGTAAACACCAAATTGGTGCATCAGCCGGTGTTGAACCTTCCGCCCCTTCTGCGCTAGCTCTCCCCTGTGAGAGACAGAAGGTAATCGTCAAAGTTTTCCTAAAGACTCCGACCAAGGACGTAGGAAACTTAGACGAAACTTCAAAAAGTCTGCCGATCGCCCAAGACGTAATTCTAACTTCTACAACAGTTTCACCGAATACCTCCAGAAGGTGCCGGGAGACTAATCTCAATTTTCTGCGCTAGTTCTCGTCAACGAGAAACAGAAAATTGGACACATTCTTTCCAGCTCATTGGAAAGAATCTTCAAAGTTTCTCACGACTCCGACCAAGGACGTGAGGAAAGCCAAGCTTAGTTGTCTGCGCTAGTTCTCTTCAAGAGAAACAGCCGACTGAACACATTCTTTCCAACTTATTGGAAAGAATCTTCAAAGTTTCCTCACGACTCCGACAAGGAGCGTGAGAAACCTGCCATGCGAAAAGACCTAATCGTACTTCCTTCGCATAGCAGGAGCGCGCAGGCAAAACCAGTTCTTCCGTCAAGTACCGAGAAGGAATCGGAGGTTTTGCCGTGATTCCTTCAAAAGGATCCGGGAAACCGAAATCGCGCGTCCTCCCAGAGGAAGCCGAGAGAAGCACACAGAAGACCCGCGTGGCAGGAAACATCATCTTCACGGAACCATCCGAAAACCAAAAAATTCAGCCGAATCCAGTTGAAAAAAGACGCAATCACTCATACTGGTTGCGAAATACTAAAGAACAACTGGACACCAAGAAATCACTCCTTTCTATAAAAGCCATCGAGAACAAAATGGCTGAAATCCAGTTGTTTAAGACTAAGATTACGCTTGCATGCAAGCTTATACGGTCAAGCGAGTCAGATCTGAAGCAGCTGGACCAACCTTTCGCACATTCCCTCCTCAAAAGGATGAATGTGAAGTCTACATCAGAGAAAGAACGGCTCAACTCAACCACTTGACGACAACAATCACAAAAGCGAAAGAGCATCACGACACGCTTACGTTGGAAAAGCAATCGAAGCAATAAGTTCGCGATCGGAGCAAAAGGAGCGAGAGAAACTAATGCTAGATTTGAACAACCACCTGGAACTAGAGTCTAACGGCTTGGAAATCGAGACGCTCCAATGGTTAAACAAGATCGAGTTCAGAAAGGAGGAGCTGGCACAGCAAGCCTCCCTGATCACGGAAGCTTCTAGTGTCACCAACCAGGCTGTCAGTAACCAGAGCAACTCGTTGAGCGGAGCGGACACTGCCAACTCGTATGAGCGCAGTGTTCGTGTACGACGCCCTCTGCTAGAAGTTCCAACATTCACCGGGAACTTCAGAGAGTTCAATACTTTCTGGTCAGTATTCGAGTCCCTTCATAATAACGATCTGGACTTTGAGCGAATGCGAGAAATTCCTTTTCTCAAGCAGGCAGTGAAAGGAAAAGCAGCGGCCTCAATCAGCAGTATCCCCGTCATTGGGGACAAGTACAACGCCGCAGTTAGCATTCTCAAGAAGCAATACGACAGATCGTCTAGTATAGCGGACATCTTGATCAACGAGATCGAGCATCTACCAAGGGCTCAAGGAAGCTCGACAAGTTGCCGTAATACGCTCAGTGCCATATCGTCTCGCATCGTACACCTGGTTGTGGATTCACAACCCTTCAAGTAGTATATTATAGAGTCAGCCTATCAGAGTGAATGATAAGATATTAGCTCCACTCAATTGCACTCCCAAGATACACCCTTGAAACCGTACCGCAGGCATGACCTAGCGGTATCGTAAGTGCGTTATCAAGTAGATACTCTATATGTTCCCGTTGGGACGGTGCGCTCTTTCAACTCTTATTTTAAGTACCGCCATCGGTACGATACCTGAGCACCGCCCACATTCGCCTGTATATAAGCCTAGTTCTGTAGTGTATTTTGTCGGTTATACGGTTCAGTACGAACACGTCGTAATAAATCTTACACGTGCGAGTACTCTCATTGGTTAAACACCAAATGGTGCACGAAATTTCATGCGCCGGTCCAGTAGCAGTGAGAGCAGTTGATTCAAAAGTGATGTTAGGAACGGGAACAAGCTCACATCTGTTGGCGGGAGTGATATCAGTTGATAAGATCCAATAAGAGGCGTTAGAAGGGAGAGGTCACCATATTCATAACGCGGGTGACAGCGTCAGCTACCTGTTGATTCTGAAATATGATATAGGGGATGGGCCAAGAACATCATTAGTGGGTGACAAGAGCTGTAAGCTGCTGATGACATTGTATAAGGGGCTTTGAAAGTTTGAGTCATGCTATTCACAGCGCAGGTCACAGCACCAGTGAGGCGTACATTCCAGCAAGTGATATAGAGGGTGAGACTTGAGCCGACATCAGATCTCCGGAGAAACATCGATCAACCCTCGCCCACCCCCTGCTGCTTGAACCCAAAAATCATTACTACTACAAAGTTGTGCGGCAATATGTTCGTGTCAATGTGCTGCTATCGGGCGATTCTGCGCCAAGTGAAGGTAATTTTTGCGCTATGATCTATGTGAATCTCCCCAGGGAGGTCTCTTTCATCATTCAGCAACATGTGGAACAAAAAGAACACCCCCACTGCGGTTCCTTTACGTCAAAGTAGCAATCATTCTGGAAAAGACGACGACCACAGGCAAGGAAAGCTTACTCAGGAGTAGCATTTTGGCTCTTCTGCTTGTGAGTTTGCAAACATGCCCTTACCGCATGGGCTACGGCCACGTCCTGCCGCTGGGGGAAAATTGTGGAAAATACGACTCCCTCCTACTCCGTCCTCTGATACGACCTCTCGTTCCCCATCCCACCCGCCACTTTCCTTTTCGCAGCTTCCTGTCACTTTTCCAGTTTTCCTAAAATTCCCCCAAATTTTCTAGTTTTTCCCGGAAACTTTGCTGTCAAACGGGGGAGGGCAGTCGGAAGCAACCAACTACTAGTTACTATCAGAAAGAGTAGTCGTATAGAGCTTTAACTGCGTCACTAATCAAGAATGCGAATACGATCCCTGGACCCCCGTATAGCTTCCGTGAATAATAAGAGTCAACTAGCGAAAAAAAATTTCCTCAGACGAAATACGGCTCTCCTCCCCCAGCAACTAAATACGAACCCCTTCCCCGTTGGTGATTCCCCATCCTACGACGTGGTCTGATAGCTAATGTGATCGTGAGAAGGATTACATCAAGACAAGCCGGCATTTCTTCTATACGAAAATGATAAATAAAATCAAAAATTCAAAATGAAATATTCTAGGTCAACGGAGAGAGCAACTCAGAGAAGACGCGACACGAATGTCACCGTTCCTTTTCCTCTTTACTGACAGTGCAGCACGATGAGGAGTAAGTGATTACAAGTAAAGAGAAACAGGTCATGGATAAGTTTTGAGCGGTCCCGTGACAGAATCAGAAGAGCCACTCATGGCCCCCATTAGAGCCTCCTTGATTGATCGTCAACGAGGCAAACGAACAGCTCAGACGATGGAAGGTTGAAAAGAAGTCGAACAGCCGCCTCCTGAACGTTGCGAATTGCAGCTCTCGTGGGAACGGTGAAGTCCTATGACTGCCCTAGTGTTCTGACGCCACGGCGACAATTCAAACTCTACATCTCGGATGACTTCCTGCACTGCTCAATGATTCATTACTTTACATTGTGGAGCAAGTACTTCGTATTGATCTCGCAATATTCATAAGTCACAGGTTATTCGAGACAGAGGTAGCGTTGTGGCAAGTGGCATGTCTAGCACGCACGGTCCCGGGGTTATCCAGGAACCGGTTTCCGCCCAGGCCAACCAAATTTTCTACCCTTCGGGGACGGTTAAGTGGATACAGATTCGTGTCTGGGGGGGGGGGGGGCAAGAATACTGACTAGCCCATCGATTGGCCCCACGAACGTCATTGTGTAGGCCATCCGCGTTCAAATAAGCCACTACGATCCTGAATGGAAGTAGGATGCGTGCTGCAAGGGGTTTATCAACAGCGAATGCTATCCTTTTACTTTTTACATGCTGCGGGACTGCAACAGTGGAAATGGAGGTCATGATCGAAAAAATGCCATTCAACTTCTGAGTTCCTACGAGAATATCACTGAAGGGCATGACAAGGGTGGGCAACTTTCATGGATACGTCTTCCAACATGGTAGCTTTCCGTAGAGGTAGTTCGGTGGCAAGGGGTGAATGGCGCGACCCAAGGGTCAAGGCCCACGTCTATTTTCCCATAGAAATCAAGCCTTGTACATCCTGAGCTTGTACCAGATCGTCTTGTAGGGTAAAAGTACCGCCCGAGCAATGGCTGGACTGCGTCAGTTCTTGTATAGACCATATAGCATTCAATAGGCTACCATAATTTTGAACAGATGCGCAATGCGTGCCGCAACACATGAAGATGTTCAACAGTGAAGATGTTCCTTTGCTTATGGCGAGTACCAGGAACCACTAACTGCACTGGTGAGTCAACCTGAACGGCTAAAATGCACTCCATATTCCGCAGACGGAGTGGGCGTGGCCTTGTACTTCAATGGACTGTGGTTTCCTCCGTGTCTTTGGTGTAATGTGCCTTTTCGGACAACTGCGATGCCTCGTTGATAAGTACAGGACCAAAACATCCCAAAAATGAACAAATGAGCGTGCACAAATGTAGTATGTAGCCACGCCCTCACCATTTTCGGGTATGGTGTGCACCTAACGAGCACAAATGAGCACGATTAAAGGGTAAACGCAAGAAGAAAACTGTCAAAATCCGTAGCGATGATAAATAAAAACCAACATTTAGCATACTTATACTTCGGACGACAAATAGAAAAGAACAACCAAACTGTCATTAAGACCCTCACGAAAATGAAGGACTCAAAAATCGAGCCAGTTGAAGAGATTTTGGAAAGTCATAAGACTTCATGGCTTGCTGGATGTGCAGTTATCAGCTTTTTAACACATTGTGGAGCATCGTTCTGCGAGGATCACCGCAATATTTCGTCACCTCTTACATCAATAATAAGTAATTTCATCTGTTTTTTTCATTGTCGCATGAGATAAGTGTATGCCGCGTCCACAAATGTGCTACAATAATTCTTGAACATGAAGGACATGACAATGGACCACATGAAACAGCGCCCAGAAAAACACACATCGCGCTCCGGATCGCGTGACACACCATGTATGTCACGCTATCCGGAACGTGTTAAAATACAGGGTTGGGAATGATTATATTCTTCGTAATATTGATGTACATATGAGAAGCTCTGATGTGAAGCTAGCAGCTCTAATCTTAGTCTAGGAGCGAATGAAAGAAATTTCAGCTTTGCATTCTCTACGAGTCACGGACGAG